GCCTTTCGATTGGCCTTGCAACAGGTTCCTTCAATTGGAGCATCAGAGGTTCCTTCGAGTGGAGCATCAGAGCTTCCTTCGATTTGGAGCATCATAACTTCTTTCGATTTAGAGCATCAGAGCTTCCTTCGATTTTGAGAATCAAAACTTCTTTCGATTTGGAGCATTAGAGGTTCCTTCGATTGGAGCATCAGAGGTTCTTTCGACTGGAGCATTAGAGCTTCCTTCGATTTGGAGCATCATAAATTTTTTCGATTTGGAGCATCAGAGGTTCCTTCGATTAGAGGATAAAAGTTTCCTTCAATTTGGAACATCAGAGCAAAGTGTCCTTCAATTGGCATACTAAGGGAAGTTCTGAACACTTCGAATCAGAATCCAAAACCATTCGAATGAACTGAATCAGACCCATCCGAAGGAAATGAATCAGAGCCGTTCGAAGGAGCTGAATCAGGGCCATTCGAAGGAGGCCATCAATCCATTCGAAAGAGAGCATTCGAAGGCCAATATGTCTACATTTATACCAAATTCAAAAATGGACAAAATTATTTAACTTTGGCCAAGGTTACATTTTGGTATTCATGGCATTCAAATGGATGTTACAAACATTACTTCTCTTGTCCCCTCCCTCCTAATCTATATAAGCAGCATGCTTGCAAGCAAAAAGAAGGGATTAGAGATACGCTACCCACAAACCCACCAAAGGTTGTCAAAAAATTTCATAAGTAATCTAACCCAAAGCAACCCTTCAACAAAAGTATCTACACCCAGAAATCCCAGATCGAAGGTACCCACATCCAGAAAGTGTCAAATCGAAGGTTCCAACTACTGATAAGAGAGGGTAAAATGTCAAACTTCGTATTTACATAACACACCCATACTTGTTGTTTCATTCGATTTTTCATTCTAGACAGAATCAAAGAGCTTGGGTTTGGCACCCAGGTCATGTTTTTCATTTGCTAACACTTGCTGCAGATATAGCCTGAAAAGATCCAACGCGCGCAGGATCGAAGGACCTGGATTTCGATACCCAGGTCCTGTGTTTTATTTCATAATATCTTTGCAGATTCAGTACCCTCACAGGTGATTCATCGGGCCCTTTCAACAATGCTCCTGGGTCGAAAAACAACCATCCTTCGTTGGATCGAAGGCCACCTTTCTTCCTCTGGATCGGAAGCCACCTTCGAAAGCCAACTTCTTCTGGATCAAAGGACAACTGCTCTCACTAGATCGAGGGATATCCATCTCTCCCTGCAATCGAAGGGTGCCCCCATTTGTATTTTTTTTCATTTCTTTATTGACCTTTTTTATATATTTAAATTAATCTTAAATCAAAAATCACAAAAAAGACATTAGGCTAGTATTTTTTCTAATTAAGTTAAATTTGTAAACAAATTAATTAATTAATTTAACATCTTTTTCTTAAAATTAAAATTAAATAGACTTAGGCTTTATTTTCTTTTATACCAAAAACAACAAAAAAAATTTCTTTTTACATTTTCAGACGTGTTTTCAACTTTGCGCGCATTTATTTAATTTCGTATTTTTACTATTATTGTATCTGTTTACTGGGTGTAATAGATAAAAATTAGGATATTTACTGTTTTATCCCCCTTTATCCTTGTATAATGTAAATCCCATCCCCGAAGCATTGTAATAGCGTAGATTTAAATTCCTGCACTTTAATATTATGCAATATATTAACGGTTAGTAACTAGGTTTGTATGACAAAACTGAAATTAAACGTTAGCAAACTTAACAAAAAGACAAAAAAAAAATTGAACATAACACACTTGCACATATACACCTCTAAGGTACGTCAACTTTGGTTGCCTTTAAAAAACAGTCATGAGGTAGGAACGCTTTAGCAAAGACCCATAAATAAAAAAGATCATAGTCCCTCAATGACCCTACAGTTGCCTTCTCGGTAAATGATCTAGTCCCTAAAACAGAATTGCTAAAGCGTCTCCACAAGTTGCCTTCGTGACTGTAACGTCCCTCCAATTGTCCCTCAAAATATCCAACGACAAGGCTACCTACTCACTAATAGTAGGATAGCACTGTCTAAAGGAAAAGATGAAAAGAACAACCTTTTCGAGTATAAAAGTAGATAGCTGTTAGAAGTTTGCTGAAACATTTTTGCACTTACAAAAAAACTACTTTTCAAAATACTTTGTATATTTTCTCCACTACTCCGAGAAACATTACAAAGTTCGTCGTACTAAGGCATTTTCAAAACATTTTCAAACACACAAAGGGCAAAGGTATTTCAAAATAAGCAAACCTTTAAGAGCCCGTGGAAAACCACGGATGGAAAGAGTGCTAACACCTTCCCTTTCCATAATCTACCCCCTTACTCAAAAAACTCTCGAAAAAGGTCTTTTTCTGTTTTTTTTCACCCTTTCCTTTGTTGGATAAAAGAAAAGTCGGTGGCGACTCTTGCTTACCGCAACATTTGCGACCACAAACGCAAAAACCAATATTAACAGTCGGTTCTGCCGCTGTATCACAACACCCGTATGACACGTGTCAGAAAAGTCAAACAAGTGTCGAAAAAGTCAGACAAGTGTCATCAAAAAATTGTTTTTTTTACTTCGACACATTTTGAATCGGTGTCAGATACTCCATATGAAAATCATACAACGCGTGTCCGATAAATCTGACACATTTTCCTTAAAAAAATTGTGTTTTTCTTTTTCTCAACACACTTTATACATTTTATCGATAAATCTCACGCACGATTAAAAGGTTAAGCATGTACTGAAATAATGTTAACAATGAAGAATTAAATATATTAATTTTGATTAGAATATTTTTAACTATTTTGAAATTAGATGAATAAATGAAACTCAAATACTATGATATATATATATTGGTGTTTGTATCCTAAGCTTTTGACATATCGGTGTCAGAGTGTCTGTGTTTGTGTCGTGTCGAGGTGTCTGTGTCGGAATCTATGCTTCATAATGATCTACATAACCTGACGGTTTTCTAAAAAACTGAGGAATAAGATTAAATTTAAAAAGAAATAACGCGTTTCGGGTCATCCGACCTTGAATTTTTTATAACTGAGGTGAAATTTTTTTGATAAAAAATATTATTTATAATAGTAAGTCAACGAAGAATCAGAGATCATTTGAAGCTAGACATCAGATATAAACGTTATTTAAAATTCTTAAAATATTTGGTGGCTTGTTCTTCACATATGTCCCTCAAGTTGAGCATGATAAGCTTTACCAGAAGAGATGTTTTTATAGACTACAACGCAATATCCAAAGCTTACAAAATTTTCCAACCAAAAACAAGGAATATTTCATAAGTAGAGACATGCACTTTGTGGAGAATAAAGAATGGATCTTGGAGACTTTAAATGTTCCAAACAAGAATCAAATCAAATAAAAATGTTAAGAGGTCGAGTAGTGAAGATTGGGAAAGTGAGACTGTGGATACTAGAGCCGTCAAAATAGATTAGTTTATATGAGTTGGTCTGTCCGATTCGACTAACCCGTATGAGTTGTATAGTTTATTAAACTCGCATAATTATAAATTTTTCAAAAAAATATATTAATTTTTATATTGTGTTATCCAAAATAACACATTTTTTTTATTTCACTAAATTTTTTCTCTATTCTATTCAAATTTTTTGTTTTAAGTATTATAAATTAATATAATCAACATTCTTTCTTTGTATTCTATTAGTTTATCTTATATTAAATATTTCAGTATTATTTTTTTACAATTTAGACATGTCTCGTATTTAAAAATAAATTATAGTATTTATAAAAGATAATAAAGTATTTAAAAATGTATTATATTTAAAATACTATAATTTTTTATTTTATTAGTAATAAATATTATAGATTTTTTATTTTGATTTTTTTATTAAAAAAAATTTGTTTAGGATCGAATAGTCTAAAGTTCATTTAAGATTAGATTCGGATAATAATTTTAAAATTCATATTATAATAGAATCGATCTGTTTACAAATGGATAACCCATATTAATAATAGACACATTCTGATCAGAAAAGAATTCAATCTGTTTGGATAACATTGAATGGGCAGTGTCCATTGATAATATCATTGATGATATGAAAAGTACTTAGAGTACTGCTTTAACTTTGGATAAGGAATTTTTTCAAGGAGTTCATAAAATGATCAAACAATAGCTCAATCTACTGCTGAAGCACAATTATTGTGTATTTGTACGATGAATTGAATAAAAAAAATATATAACCCTTCTTCCATTTGTTCAAAGTTCTCTAATTATTCTGCTGCAACTTTATAAAACAACAATATCAATGTAAATGTTGATCTAATGGTGTGTTTTCTTTAACATAAGATATAGTAGTGTTTAACTATTATTTTCTAATGTGAGCATTTAGAGAAATCAATAATGAAAATGTTCAGATTATATTGTTAGAATATAATGTAAGTGTGAGTAAGTGAGAAAATAGTCATACATTAAAAAAATATATAAAGATTTGAGCATATATAAGTAAAAGAACCAACTCACTTATCAACTTAAGGTTTTAGGTCGATAAATAATGTGTTTCTCACAAAGATGTATAATCTTCAATTTTGTATCAATACTCTTAATAACTCCCCCAACTATGTCACGGTTGCTACATGAACTGATGAAGACAAATGCTTTGTAAATATCAAACTATTGCTTAGAATGCAAGTTACAAATTTTAGTGATTCATTTCTTTGTTAGAAATTTCTCATTCAACAATTGCTTTATTTTGTTAATTTTCCTTCATTCTTTTTGTGTCATGTAATCAAAATGATCAAACTATATTTAAAAACAAAGAAACCAAGGGAAACCGCTAACATTCTAATTGTGCAAGCCAAGTAAAAATTTCTCTCTTTCAATGATACAAGCCTATCATATTACTCAATAAAATTTTATCTTCAATAACCATATCCTAACCGAAATAATATTTGTCTAGATTTTATTTACATTCTGACCGAACTCTTAATTATGAAGAAGTATCATTTCTTTCATTCTTCTGAAAGATTCAAATTGAGATTTAGACCTTGTCGTTTATGCTGTTGACCAATAATTGTTTTGGCAACAGCTTTAACTAATACCGTTGTGAAGTTAGGATCTTGGATTAGCGAATTCACATATTCTTCAAATTTCACGTTCTTTTCATAGCCAAACGATTGCATGACATCCTCACAAAGTCTAGTGTTTATGGCTTCTCGGTCATTTAGTGTGGATGAAGATGGTTTGAATGGCTCATTAGAGACACCATGGTTGTGTTCTCCACCATAAGTTGCAACAATGATAGATTTATCATGTAAGCATTTTTGTACCTAGAGTCATCAAAGTAAAGTTAGAGTCTCTTTAAGCTACAAAATTTTCATCTATATATAGTATGTATATACCTTCTTTTTGGCTGGGCAATTAGGGGCCATGGAGCACCTAAAGTAAGCTCTAGGAGAGGCATTATCTTTGGTAACTTTTTGTCCATACTTTCTCCATTGATAACCATCTTTTATTATCTATACTCACAAAGTAAAATTTGTATAAGCCTATACTAATTTTGATTGATACACAAAAAATTAGTGCTAATGGGACATACTTACCAAACTCTCATCATTAGGATGAGTTTTGACAAATACTTGTAATGGTTTTTTGGCTGTTGGAAAGTACTCTAGTCTTGCTCTTTTGCTTGTATCAAAGTTAGGTGATAGCCCAATTTGATTTGAACTTATGATCTCTTTGTTTTCTTCTTTGTTGATCTCTTGTTTTAAATTTGTGCACTTCTTACTCATAACTTCAAGCATGAATCTTAGAGTATTATTCTCCTCTCTCACTTGTTGTAACTCCAATTCAAGAGTTTCCACCTTAACAAATCAAAATGGTTAATTATGAGGTTGTAGAACTAACATTTATTTCCTCAAATAAAAGTTAAAAGATGTTCACAATAAATCACTATGAACCATTCATTACCTTTTCATCCATTATAATATAGCTATTTGAGTCGTTGAATAACCTTCAAGTAGTGATGAAATAATTTCTCTTATTATATTGGTTACATATATAAAGGTGATGTAAGCTAATAAAATATATAACAAATGATGATATAGCCTTATTTATACAAAATTTTGGATATAATTGAATAGGGTAGTTGGTGAGAGTTAGTAATAAAATGAGAGAAAATATTGTAATTCTTAATTTTCTATCTTGAAAACTATGTCGTGTCTAAACCGTGTAGGGTCTTTTTCTTTTCTTTTGTTGAATTGTGAGAGTGTTGCTTATTAGTTAATGTGTTCAATTCAAATCACGTGTTAGAAAAATCCACAAGATAAAAACAAATAAATAATATTATATAATACTCCTGTTACTTTGAAAAATGTCATGATGTGCCTATAGTTTCTAGTCATTATTTTTATACGTAAGTACAATGATATCATCTTGATGACATCAGCTAACTACATGTTAGTTCTAGTAAAGAAATGAGCGTTAAAAATAATATATTCAGAAGTATTTGTGTTATTTAGAAGTAAAAGTTTCTGAGTTTGTGTCTCAGAAGTAAATTAAATTTGAGATTTTAGTAGTATTTGTGTTATTTAGAAGTAAAAGTTTCTGAGTTTGTGTATCAGAAGTATATTAAATTTGAGATTTTAGTTTGTTTTGTTAGTTTATTTATTAAATTTAATTTTGTTATGACATACGTGACAATTTATTTTGTGTATATAAATAACTTTGTAATTAGGATTTTAGCAAGATTTTATTATACAATTTCTTTCTCAACAAGTTTGTTGTTGTTGTCTTTTCTTTCTCTCTCGTCTTTCATTTTCATTTTTCATCTTTAATTTTTTTGTGCACTAACAATTGATATCGAGAGTTTCAGTTTGATTCACAGAGAAACACAAGTGTATGTGAGGTGTGTGTAATTGACTTCGTTGTTTGAATTCGCGTTGAATTCATTAACGTAATCGTAGCAGAATTATATTTCTTGAAGTGTCTGGTGAGATTTGAGTTTGAGTTTGAGTGCACAAAAACGAAGATGAGCGGCGAAAACAATTTTAATACTAAGCTTCTGGTGTTTCATGGAAAGAATTGTAATCAATTGATGATTTAAATGTGTGTTTTGTTCGGTGCTTAAGATGTGCTTGATCTTGTCACAGAAGGTTATGTTTCGGTTGTAGCAGATCTGATGGAGAAACAGAGGACCGCGCAGAGAGATACGAGGAAGAAGGACCAAAAAGTGTTGTTCTACATCTATTAGTGTGTGGATGTGAACATGTTTGAGAAAATCACTAATTCGACCACGGTGAAGGTTGCGTGGGATATACTGACACGATGCTGCGGTGATGATGTGATAGTGAAGAAGGTGAAACTTTAATCCCTACGTAAGTAGTATGAGAATCTCAACGAAGAATAATTAGAAGGTACCAAATTACATCTCTAAAGTGATTCTGATCACAAATGAGATGAAATCGTATGGAGAAACTCTTTCTAAATAAGTAATCATTGAGAAGATATTGAGGTCTCTTACTCTTCAATTTGATTACATTATTGTAGTAATTGAACATTCTAAAGATCTGAGCACCATGAGAATTGAAGAGCTACAAAGCAGTCTAGAGGGGAAAGAGTTATGTCTGTCTGAGAGAACTTCTAAAATAGAGGTTAAGCAGGCTCTGAAAGCTTCTTTTGTCAAAAAGGACCAGAAGCATTCTTGGCCAGAAGCCAAGAAGAGACATGGTGGTAGTTCTCAGAAGTCATAAACCTTCTACTCTAATGAGAAGAAACATAAGAAGAGAAAGGAGAAGTTTGACAAGAGAAAGGTTTAATGCTACTGTTGTAATGGGTTTGGCCACTTTGCTAAAGATTGTTGGTCAAACAAAGAAAGGAAGTCAGATGAAGCAAACATAGCCAGAGGTGATTCTGATGATGAATATGTGCTATTGATGACTTATGAATATGATGAGGAACTTCTGTGATTGACGTTTTCAGATTCTGAATGAGACTTTGAGTATGAGTTAGAGTAAAAAATTTACTCTGAATCTGAAGTCGAGTCTGCTTATGAAGATGAGTCAAAATCATAAGATGACTCTAAAATTGAAGTCAACAGAGACGTCATTGTGAAGGAGTTAGAAGCATGAGATTGAAGCAAGTCTCAATCATACCCAGGTGTAGTGTTAACACCTGAGGTAACTTGTGAAGATAGTTTAGAATTTGAAGATTCTAAAGATGATTCAGAGTCACAAGGAGACTCTAAAGATAAGTCAGAGTCAAAAGATGGTTCTGAAGATTCTGAAGATGAGTTAGAGTCTGAAGGTGACTCTGAAGTAGAAGATGGCTTTGAAGGCGAGTCTGATTTTGATGGTGAATGATTCTGATCCAGATCTGATGATGATCCAGAATATGGTGGTAATCCAATTTTTGAAGGTGGTTATACTTATGAAGGTTGAGTTTCTTAATATGGTCATTCTTCTGAAGGTGGTCCAACATCTAATATTGTTCCAGAATTGGAAGAAGATTCTGAACAAGTTTAGAGACTCTGAGGGAGAAGTCATTCAGTATGCCATGTCAGTACACTTTGAATAATTAGTACTGAAGAAGCTCTCAAGAAGAAAGTATGGTTGAAGGCCATGAAATAAGAACTTGAGATTCAGAGGTACATTAAAGGGAATCTGAGGTATGAAGTGTTATTCTCTTAGATTTGACAGAAGAAGTAGTTCTGAATATTTTTTCAAATATTCGAGAAGTTCCATTTCTTGGAGCTTCAAAAAATAACCTGTGCTTACGCTGTCAACTTGTGAAGCTGAATACATCGCAAGTGCTTTGACTATGTGTCAAGCTGTTTGGATGATGAATTTGTTACAAGATTTGAAGATCAAGGTGAGCAAATATGTGAAGTTGATGATTGACAACAAATAAGCTATAAGCCTCGCCAAGAATCCGGTGCCTCATGGGAGAAGCAAACATATTGACACGAAGTTCCATTTTCTGAGAAGTTAAGTCCATAATGGAGTGCTAGAAGTTGCACACTGTAGCACCCAAAAGTAACTTGCAGATGTTCCGACGAAGACTGTCAAGGCTGGACACTTTTGTTTGAGGGATGTAATTGGTGTTTTAGATTTAGTTAGTTGAATATGAATTAAGGAAGATGTTAGAAGTAATTTATATTCAAAATTATTTGTGTTAGTCAGAAGCAGAAGCTTCTGAGGTTACGTCCCAAAAGTATGTTTAGCTTTTGGGGTCCTAATTTGTGTTGTTAGCTTAGCTATTAAGTTTACTTTTGTTAGGAGTTTATTTTGTGTATATAAACAACTATGTAGCTAGGGTTTTATCAAGATTTTAATATACAATTTCTTTTTCAACAAGTTTATTATAATCGTCTTTTCTTTTTCTCTCTTCTTCCATTTTCATTGTTCATCTTCAATTCTTTGTGCACCAACAATGAGATGATATAAGCGAATTTTTTCGATGCCATGATATGAAATCTAAAAGGTAAGGTGGAGGTGAATCTGTAAAGTTAACCATTTAATACACAAGTAAGTGAAGTTAAAGATGTAGAACTTACAAAAGAATGAGTGTATATTTGTTATAGTGTGTGACGAATTTGTATAAATTGAGTGGTAAAAACAGCTCATGCTTGACCTAATCTAGGTTATGAGAGACCATCTAGTTAGATTTGATGATATTTTATGGACTAATAATTTATATTTAATGTGAACCTTGATAGCGACCACAATAATTTTTAGTGGAGATCTTCTAACAAAGCTTCATCTATTCGTTGTCCTTCGATATAAATATTTTGAATTGAACTTTTAAAATTGGATCAATATTATTGAGTCTATGGCTGACCCAAATCACCGGCTAACATTTTTTCCTATTAGACAAAAAAATTTCTTTTAACTTTTCATCTTAATTAATGTCCTCAACGTGTTTAGAAAGAAAGTTTAGTTTAACAAGTCTTTGATTGTTTTTGACATCATATTAGATAATGATTATTCCATACACATATTAGTAGTACTAAAAACAAATAAATAATATGCATGAATCATCATGTTAATGTCATAATCATATTGGTAGTTTAGATGGGAACATAGTAATACAATATGCGGCAGAAAATAGTAAATATTCTAAAGAAAGTCTTTGTTTACACTCGAATTTGATTATTCATTAGTCTTTGAATTTATATGTCATTTTAAAAGAAGCTCACGTTTGCATCACTTTTTTTATTTGCAACACTCTACTACGTAAAATAGAATACAATCCTTACACGTAACTCACATTTAAAAGTTAACAACAGCAATAATTGAGTTTTATTAAAGCTTTACTATATTTATTTTTTCAACTCCTATGTTAGATTTAAACTTTAACAGCATCTTTTATATATAAAAACTTGTTTCAGAAACAAAGGAATCAGTATGTTTTTTCTTAAATAGTGCTGTTGATTTATAAATAAAATAGTTTTTAAATAAATTTATAACACTTTATTAAAAAAACGCTCTAAATCAATTAAAAAAAATTATCCACTTTAATGATGTCTTTCTAAAAAAATGATATTAAAATTTTTTTTTAAATTAAAAACCTTATCCTTTTTATTAGAAAAAACAACATTTGAACAATGATTTTCTAAATAACACTCTAAAAAATGACAGCATTTTTCTTCTAAAGTATGGTCTCCTTTGTGCATATGATTTTTTTTGGAAATCACAAAAATTTAATAATATTTTTTAATAAAAAAACAAGTGATTTTTTTAGACGGGATTATCAAAAATGTTTGTGAGTAGTATTGGGACAAGTTTGATTCCTCAACTAACTTTTGAAGTTTTGATGATAACAAGTAAGTTTGTATGAAGAATAATTTTGTACTTTAACTGTTTGTTTAAGTGTGGTATTATTTATAGATTCTGGATTCTGAGTATATAAGTTGTGGACTCTTGACAAGTGTAGTTCTGGATTCTGAACTGTAGCAACTCTGGGATATTTAAACGCACTATGAA